AGACACAACACACTTGTGGAAGTGACTCAATTTTTTATTAAACAAAGGTTAGTCATGCAACCGACATAACTCGGTCAACCAAAAAGTGCATATCTGCATATGATAGGAAGGAAAACTCGGGGGGCTCACATCAAATCTTAAGAGGCAGACATGTTAGCTTGGTTGAGAAGAAATGCTTGGAGACTTATATCAACTTGAGGGTTAGTCAAGGAGATCAGATCAAGAGAGAAAACGCAGCGAGTCACTTTCAATCATGAGATCTGATCAAGGTAAGACACGGGTCTATAACCTAAGAAGGAAAGCTCTGGAGCCAACATCTAACCTGACAAGTAATTTGATCGAGCAAGAATCCCGAGGGATTCATATTTTCTCGAGAGGTCATTAGAGATGATCATATCAAGAGGGAACATGCTGAGATTCACATATAACCTTAGATCTGATCCAGGCGTGGAGCCTCAAATGCTTACCACATTATGGAGGAATGCAAGGGGTCTTACATCATTCCTTTCAAGATGTATACAAGTTGACTAGATCGAGAATGAATGTCAAAGGGTTTACATCACTTCTGAGTGCTAGTCGAAGTGATCAGTTCTATGGAGTCCTTGAGCCACGGGAGGTTACACATGCATGTTGTATGCTCCCTTAACATTCAAAAGCGCATCCAAACCTTTGTGACATAAAAAATTGATGCAAACAACTAACTTTCTAACAAATCATATTCCCATTAAACTATTGCTAAATGAAATGTATCAAGTCCCCCACAATTCTTATTTTCTCGACATAAAATACTCATATTTTAGATTGAGAACCTTTCGGAGCATTGACCATGTCTATATTCATCAAAACCATCACAACACTAAGCTTGATTCTAGTGCCCTGGATGCATCTTTTTTGTATACTCAACGAAGCTTCAAAGTGTTCCTAGTTAAGTTCTAGAATTTTTTTTTATCTTTCGGGGTATTACGTTTGTTATAATGAAGTATATTCTATGATGAAGATTTTGATATCAGAGAAAGAGGGGTGGAGAAGATTCAACAAGAACAATCAAGAAAGCAATCTGGAAAAGAGGAAAAAACATCCATGATTGTTATGAGATGCACTAATCAAATAAAAAGATACAAAATACAAGATTTCCTACTCTAGCAATTGATTGAGATACATAAATCACTATCCTAAGGATTGGCGAAGGAGATCCGGGATATTACCATCAACAACAAATGCATACAATTGCCACCACCTAACACTATGGATACAAATTCATTCCCATCTGCGAACTACAAAGGGAGTAAATGCCCACATAAAACTCAAATTGAACCCCCTAAAACAGTTATATAAATAATCTCCTAATAGAGATACCCTAATTGGAAAATAGATGAATAGGAATTAATAAAAAAAGAACATCTTGCTGGAATCAAGAAAACCCGAATCGGAAAGCTTAGTTCAGGCCCTTCGGGGTGGAATCACATCCTGATTCCCGCACGCACGAGAAATTTCTGCATAGGAGGATCGTGTGAATTATTAAATCCCATGCGGTGAAATTCCATGCTTTTTTTCTTCGCTCGCATCCCCTCAGTCGTGCGTTCCGGTCATGTCTCACATGAATCTATCGGGGTTGGTGGAGCTTTGACCTCAATTTTCGAAGTTTCTGACTCACTATATGGAATTAGGCCAACCATGTGGGAGGTGTCGGAGCAGCTGTAACCTTCCGGGATTGGAGGGTCTTCGACAATGTATCTAGAAGCACCTAGGTCCCACTGTCAAATGCACCATCCCACAATACATTGAAAGAGATTTTCTGAATTGTGAGTAACCATCTCTATCTATAATCCTGATTGGCTTCCGACATTTGTCTTTTCGGTGGCATGACTAGTTTTTATTTTTTGGAGGTGAAAGAGGGTGTATAACTCTAATTTAGGATGCCTAAAAATTTATTAGGATGGCTGGTTTTGAAAATCAGCGAAGGGGAATTAAGTTTTTTGGGTGGAGTTTGGGTTTGGTAATGGTGGATTTTGATAAACCTAGGATGAAATTAGGGTTAGACTAGCTTTGAAACCAAATAATATCAGATTTTAACAAAACAACAATGACGAAATAATGTTATTGCTGAATTCAAGTAGGACATTACAACTATACAATCAAAAATCTAAAATTGCAGTAAACAACAACACAAACTCAAAGTAGGTTTGGATCGAGGGGTGGTGGTGGTGGTCGGCGAGAGTTTGGCAGGTGGTGAGATGGTGGGTAAGCAACAATATAGCAAGTTGGCTTCCTCTTAGGTTCCAGACAGCAAGCAAGCAGTGGGGATCGACGTGAAATAGCTGTCCTGGTTGATGGCAGCAGGGAGGGAGGCGGAATTTGCAAGGGGGAGGCAGCTAGCAGTATGGAAAGCGGCAGGGGCTGCGGTTCGAAAGCGGTGACATTAAGATAAGGGAGGTTGAGAGTGATGGCAGCGAGGAGGTGGCCGATTTAGGGATGGCAGCATCAAAGGTGGAGGGGAATGCGGTTGTGATCACTGGGACTGCAGGAGAACAATAAAGATCCGTTGTTTTGGGTGGCTGCACAAGTGAGAGAGACGAGGAGCGGTGCGCGAAGGATGCAGAAGGATAGAGGAAGGACAAATGCCACCTCGAGAGCTAGTTACAGCTGAAGCACCTTTTAGACTCTTGGATACAACCCTCAAAGGGAAAAGAGAGATGCCGTTGGCTGTCCTGAACAAACACAAGACAAAACCTATCCTAAAACATGACAAAAGCTATATATATATAGACCTATGATAACTAGGAGTGGCCCAACCCTATTGGGCGTGACTCCCATGGAGCCAAGAGGACCGATCGACCCTCACAATATTTGGACCGAACCCTTCTAGAGCGCCATACACAATCCTACACCCACTAGACGTTCGCGTCCGATTGCCTTTAAAGGAAAGCAACCCAAGCAATGCCACGTATAATCAATTTAAACCCTCACATCAAATATGCTTAATAAGAAGAAAAAAATCCAAGCTTAAACCAGTATGTCTAATCATCTGAATTTGTGCAAGGTCAACCATCATATATTGAAAATATGGACTCTACCCTTATAACTCAAAATCATTATGATATATGTCTTCCTATTGCTCTAAGGGGCACAAAAATGCACTTAATCCGCATTAGCCAACTTATTTCTCTTTCCAAAATTTTCTTATCCAGATTTTAATAATTATCCGAGAAGCACTTGAGAACATATAATGGAACAAATTCATGATTAAAGAAATGAGGTTACTAAAGGAAAATCAAAATTGATAGGCGGTGGAGTTATGAAAAGGAATTAAATTAATGGGAGCTAGTGAGTGTTCATTGTCAAATATAATGTAAACAAGACACTCGATAAATATTGAGTTAGAATTTTTCCAAAAGGACACACTCGAACTGATAGAATTTATTTTAGGGAAACTTTTGCACTATTTGTGGTGCTAAATACTATATGGAACATATTCTAGGTTTTGATGATGGATTTAACTCTAATTATGTATGTAGATTAAAGAAGATTTTATATGGACTCAAACAATCTTCAAGAGAATGATTTGGCAAACTCATGCCTCTAAGATCGCATTGCATTTATAAAAAGCTTTACGGTAAATCACTGTTAAAATAGTTTATGTTGATGACATAATTATAACATGAGATGATTTCAAAGATTTGAAGAGTTTAAATGACCAACTATCCTAAGATTTCAAATTAAAAGAGTTGGGAAGCCTCAGATGATTTATTTGAATAGAAGCGGGATCACTCAAAGATTGCGATATTCATCTCTCAACAAAAATTCTTTCTGATCTAACTAATGAAAATGTATGATGGGATGCATGCTCTTGAAATCTTCAATTGTTTATTGCCATGAACTGGAGAGGCATGAGATAATCGAGATTTGGAAAAAGGAAGGTATAAAAGGCTGACTGGGAAGCTTGACCACACAAGATTGGTTATAACCTGTTGTTATTGTTATAAGCCAATTCATGCAAGACCACTCTAAAGAAGTTCATTCATAAGACTCTTATAAAATGTTTCAATATCTCAAAGCAACCCCAAATTATGAAATCTTATTTAGAAATATAAGAATAATCTTAGAGATATACACAAATGTTGATTTAGCAAGATCTCTCATAAATAAAATTTTTGCTGCTGATTGTTGAACCTTGGCAAAAAGAAGTTGGTTGTCTCTAGATATAGGGCTAAAGTGGAATTTCTTACAATGATCCAAAGAATATGTGAACTAGTATAAGTTATTCTAATTCACTTAGAATAAAGTGAGAAATTTTAATAAAGTTATACTGCAACAACAAATAGATAATCAAAATTGCACTCAAACAAGTTTAAAAGTACAATCAAAATGCATTGAAATCTATCGACACTTCATTAAAGACAGATATAATGTGAATTGATATGTATCTCATATGTTCAAACACACGCAGCTTGCTAATGTTCTGACTAAAGGACTTTTGATCTCTGCATTTCTGAATATCTTCTTCAAGTTGGACATGAAGGATATCTACTCTACAACTTAAGATGGAGTGTTGGCGGTTCTAGCTTGGGATTTTATAGAACTAGCAGCAGGTGGATCCAGCTTGGGAATCCTTAGCAGGGATTTTTTTTTTTCATGCATCTTGCCGGTTGTGGCAATCCCTTTTCCTATTCTCACAGGTGTATCTATACAAGTTTTGTTAATAATTTGTAATCAATCATTGTATAATTAGTTTTTCCCGAAGGAAGAATTACCTGAGTAATACCTAGAATCCTATTACATAAATAAGTTAGGTTCTCTCTCTTTAAATTGGATATGTGAAGTATCTGCTCATTGGTCTGTCCATCTGTGTATTATTCATTATTCATTCGCTTATCAAGGTCATATATGGAAGAGCTCTCCGTTTCAAATTCAGTGAAAGGAAAAAATTTCTTTGAAGTAATAGTCGCATGCTGGAGAGCATTGAAGTTTACTAAGCGTAATGATTTTATCCCTTTTGACAGGTGAGTGGCAGTTTTCAGTCTGTCAGGGAGGCATTGATTCATATCACAAACAGAATTCGGGAGTCTTTCTTTCCACCAAAGCATTATCCATATATCGGCATGTCTCAGCACCATTCTGTTGTACTGGAAATGCCTCCTATTATGCCAAGAAATGATGCACCTCCAGTTCGGTATGCTGCCGTTGGTTTTCCTCGTGTTCTGGATCCTTCAATTGAATCTACAAGAAACCTTCCTGCCTCTTCACCAAAGTTATGGACTCATAAGGTAACTTTGTGGGTAATATAGAGCATGTGGTTGATGGCTTCATGATACTTCGAAGCTTTTCACTATTTTATGATATATTACAGAGTGGAGACCCTGATGGACTTGCTGCGGGAAGGTTTGCTTTGTCTCTCGGCCTATGAACTTGTTTTAAGTTTAATATCTTACGTTGGTGCCATGTTGTACAGTGCAACTCAAGCTGCCATTTCACCAAACAGAACTGTGACTATTGCAGTTCCTGAACACTATATGGGATTTGTGCATGGGGAGAGTGATGATAATCTAGCCCTTATTAGAGAGGTATGCGCATCTTATATTAGGATTTTCATTGAAGAAATGGAGGATAACTAAATGAGCAATTCCACATAAGTAACGCTAGTAACGATGATGTATTTTCATTCTGCTAGTTAATAGTTGTTTGGTCTTTCCTGAGTTTATATTCCTCAAATTCACGGTGACACTCCGTCTAATCATGAATAGGTTCTGTTGGGCAAGGTTTTTTTTGTTTGTCTCCCTCATCAAGCAGTTCAATCTTGTCAAATTTTATTCATAATTTATTAAGAAGTTGATGCTGGTAGCTAATTATTTGTTGGCTTTGTAGGTAATTATGGAATTTTGAGTTTCCTATTTTAATTTTATTCTTTTTTTGATCTTCTTATTTATGTTATATTTCTTTTCTTGCTGAGTTACTTTTTCTTTGGTAAGTTGTGTTTGTTGTAATTAAGCTTGCCTAGCCGTTCCTTATTATATAAGAAGAAGAGTTGTAATTTTACATTGAGAAATATTACAATAGGATTTTCTTCACCTTTATTCATGGTATCAGAGCTAAGAATCAAACCCTAGATTCTCCTTATGTCGTTGTAGCCTCTCCCAGTGTCAGAATCATTACTGCAAACCTGTCTTAGTCATGATTGCAATCCCGTCGGCTCCTTGCTAGCAATCACGACTGTTTGGTTGTCCAGAATCCGCAATCTCATTGATGAATTGCGATTGTTCGCACATATGTACCTCATGATCCCCACGTTAACTTCTGGTACTTTCTTTCATATATCAGTTCTCCTGCTTTTTTCTAGCCGAATGCTGGCTAACTCCCATCTCCTGCAGCGCTGATTGACGCCTATCTCCTGCAGCACTGGTTCCCTCCTATCTTTGTAGCGTTGTTTCCCTCCCATCTCCGGCATCACTGATTCTACTACCTTTTCCTGCAGACCACCGTCTAACCAGCAAGACGTACTTCCAGCGACCCAACTGCTCCTTCCAGAGCATACTGCGGAGTCTCAAGAATCCTACCGGTCCTCTAGAAGTTCCTAACCTGTTTATTCTTTCCAGGTTTTCCAGTTGTTCATAGCTAAAGTTAACAACTCATCAGTTGGGAATTCTTTCCAACACTAAACACACATAAGGCTTATGACAAAGTACAAAATGAAGATGTAGAGCTCTATTTTGGAGGTTAGTTCGGAATTAGAGACAAAAAATTCTCTCCAAACAATTCTAAAACTCTCATTTTATCACAAATCATAAACTCAATGGCCATAACTTCCTTCTATGGTCCCACTGTATGTTTATGTATATTTTTGGAAAAGGAAAAAAAAAGATCTTATGGGAAAGTGCACAGTTCCCAAGCTCGCTGATTCTAACCATCGTTTATGAAAAATCCAAGATCATATGGTCATGTCTCGGTTGATCAATCCTATGACCATATAGATGATGAATTTTTTTCTTTTTTATATGGCAACACATGAGATTTGGAAGCAGCTTCTAAGACTTATTACAATAACGAAAACACTGTAGAATTGTTTGGGATCAAGACTAAATTGCACGAGCTCCGACAAGAAGAGTTGAGTGTGACTCAATACTTCAACACACTTAAAAAGTATTAGTTACAATATATTATATATATATATGATACATTTATATGAAAGTGCCCACAAGATGCTATGTTGTATTAAATAATAGTGTAAAAGAAGAGGATCAAATTATTAGGTCTAAATAAGAACTTAGTTAAGGTCAGAGGAAGAATCATGGGGATGAAGCTTCTCCTTAACACTTGGGAAGCCTTTGTGAAAGTCAGAAGAGAAGAAAATAGGAGGAAACTCATGGTTACAGGAAGTGCGGATTCATCTTGGACTGATAGAACTAAATAAGCTTCGCCTTATACAAAAATTTCTCCCATGAGTTAAAGCCAAAGAAGAACATTACAAGAAAATTGGTCACACGAAGGATAAGTGCTGGAAACTACATGAAAAACTCACAGATTAGAAACCTGGGCAAGAATGGAAAGACCAAGATAACAAGACCTATGCCGCTAGCTCTTCTGAAGGGTTGCCAACCCTAGCTCCTTCACCAAGAAACAACTGGAGGTTTTGAAGAAACTTCTTTCGAGCGTAACCGAGCAACCTACTAGTTTGATGAGACACTAATATATCATGTCCTCCTATATCACTAACAATGGAAGATTTTTGACTTTAATAATAGATTCAGGTGCTCCTGATCACATGACTGGAGATATTCATGTTTTCACTAACTAGCAAGAGTTCACCGACTCCAAATTTATTAGATTTGCAGATGGTTCTTACTGCAGGATTGTTGGGAAAGAAGTAAAAGTCTCCAAATATATTTTGCTCTCTTCTGTGCTATATGTTTTCCAATTAGATTGCAACTTACTTTCAATCAACAAACATACTCTTTATTTGAGCTGTTTTACTAAATTTAATTCTAATTTTTGTGGATTCTAGGTGGAGATTCGGGGAAGATGATTGATACTGTTGAATTGCATCAAGATCTATATCTGCTTAAGGAAAGTTTTTCTCATAACACACAAGTGTCTTCTTCACCATCCCTTTTCCATATTCTTGAATTTGTTTTGTCCATCAGCATATTCCTCTTGAGGGTAAACTTTTATTATGACATTGTCGTTTATGTCACCCCAATTTTCATTATGTTGCAAATTTATACCCTCATCTCTTTATTAAATTAAAACCAAAGTTTTATTAGTGTAAAACCTGCAAATTGGTTTAGCATACTTGTCATGTCTATCATCCATTCCAGTACAAACTCTCACATTCTTTATATTTCATCACGGTTAAATTTGAGACCCATCAAAATTAAAAATTATTAATCGAGCCGAATGGTTTGTCTCATTTTTTGATGACCACATTAGAACCATTTGTATATTCCTCATGAAGGAAAAAAATCTGAAGCTGCATAAATATATCAATCGTTTCATATAATATGATTTTTACTCAATTCCAATGCAAAATTCAGATTCTCAAAACTAATAATGTAAATGAATGCTTCAACTCTATCCTTGGTCTCTACCTTGTAAAGAATTGTATTATCCATGTGAGTTCCTCTGTTGAAACTACACAATAAAATGGGATAAGTGAGAGAAAAAATAGTCATCTTCTAGAGGTATCTTTGTTTATAATTCTTTTTCATAATGTACAAAAAATTTTCTCGAGAGATGTCATGCTTACAAACACCTACCACATTAATAGAATGCAAAACAGGGTTCTTGGATTCAAAACTCATCTCAATATTGCGATTGAAAAATACCCTAAGGTCAGAGCTTTCTCATCCAATCGTCCTCTAATAATATTTTACTTTTTCTTTTGGTCACATTCACCAATCAAACTGCACAAAGCTTGACCTAAAATTCATCAAATGTATCTTCTTTGGGTATGCTTCTAATAAAATGGGTACAAGTGATATTCTGTCATTATAAAAAATACTATAATTTCGTGGATGTTACTTTCTTTGAAAACTAACCCTACTACCCTAAATCCGATATTTAGGCTAAGAGTCTGGGTGAATAAACTTGGGATACTACTCTGGATACCCACACCGATCTATAGTCATCACAACCAACCCTCTTTCCCTACAGTACTCTGGATTTGCACACTGATCTATAGTCACCACAATCTATTCTTCTTCCCTTTAACCATAATGTCTCCCAAGTTTCACCTGTTGAGAACATCCAACCTGAGATTAACAATAAGGAACTTCGTGCGTATAACATGAGAAAGAAATCCACTGAGCAGGATAAAGACAATATACAATCACATAATTATTCATAACCAAACTTGAATTCACACGCTTATGAAGTTCCAAGGGAGGTGGAATTCAGTGGGGAAGACTGAAAGTTGCATAAATTTTCCTATCCTAGTTTCCGTTGCATATGGGTAGCTATTATCAATCTATAAAGCTTTTATATCTAATCTTTGATAGTGTGCATATACTCAAGTGAATTCATGAAGCATTTCAAACTCTAGAATGAAAAAAAGACAGTTGAAGTGGAGATTTAATCTCTTGATCTAAATAGCACATGGACTTTTATATAGCTTCCTCTAGATAGAAGAACTGTAGGGTGCAAACAAGTGTTCAATATGAAGTCCAAAACAAATGAGAATATTGAGAGGTTCAAGGCTCAGTTGGTGGTCAAATGTTTCACTCAGTCTTATTAGATAGACTATCAAGAGACCTTTGCTTCAGTGACCAAGTTAAGCACTAGAAGAGTTGTTCTTTTCTTAGCAGCGAATGTGGTCAAATGTTTCACTCAGTCTTATTAGATAGACACTAGAAGAGTTGTTCTTTTCTTAGCAGCGAATAGAGACTGCGAATTGCATCAACTTGATATGAAGAATGAGTTTTTGAATGGATACCTTGAGGAAGTAGTGTATATGAAAATCCCATCAGGACTGAAAAATGATTCAAATAAAAATTTGATTTGTATACTAAAAAAGTCACTTTATGGTCTTAAACAATTTCTAAGGGCTTGATTTTATAAATTTGCTAAGACTATGAATTCTATTGGATATATACAATGCCAAACAAATCATACACTGTTCATAAAACATACACAGTGAGGTAAGAAGGTTATACTCATTGTCTATGTATATTAAAAGAATAATAATATTTTGTACACTAGGAGACTTGCGCCTCCAAACTAGGTCTGTCCGATATGGGTAGTTAACACCTCTTTAAAAGGAAGATATTTGCCTCATTGTATAGTACTATGACCCTTAAGCACTTTCAAATATGGTTTGTCCTATGAGGGCAGTTAACAGCTCTTTCAAGGAAAGACAGGTGCCTCATCATAGGACTGCGGATTGCCTCCAAATTTGGTTCCTCTAGTGCATATGGCCAACTGTGTCTATTTTCAATGGAAAATTAAAATCTGTTGTTGGGAACACAAGTATTGCACAGTGTGGTGCTCTCTCAACACCAAAGGGATATTTATATAGTCAAGGAAGAGGGACTAGGAGGGAATTTTTGGCGGAAAAAATGCAGAATATAAGAAGAATTTTTAATTTTTTAAATTAGCACAAAAAGGAAAACACCTCAAAAAAAAAAAAAAAAGAAAAACCAAAAATCCCAAAATTTCGCACTTAGTGCGCGAGGATGCCCGTAATCAACACGTACACGTGCAATTAGGGTAAGTGCGTAAATGTGGGCAATCAACATGTGTGCATGCATGCACATGCACTCTCGTGCCAGCTCACACTTGTCATTGCGGGCACGGGCACACACGTCTGCCCCTACGCACACTCGCATTTGTAGGCCTGCAAGTGCATGCGGGCACACATGCGCACACACAGTGTCATTGCCGCTGATGACGATTTTTTGTCCAACCCATTTTCGACACCTTTTGGTCTCTGGGATTTTTTACGACGTTCTTGTCTCAAAACTGATATCTTCAAATGAATATTGAGAAAAAATTGGGGCACAACCCCTGAGAAAAGGTCCGTACTAACAACTTATGAGCTGCTTCATATTACAATTTCGTTGGTAGCAGCAGCCAAAAGGTGGTGGTCCAACAGCGATGGCTGACAGTGGTTTTTCAATAGCAATGACCCGAGGGTGGTGGTTCGATGGCAACGATGGTGATGGTCGGGCAGTGGTGGTCCGGTGTTGGCGACTGCCAGACTATGTTGTTTTGGTGGCAATGACAATGGTGATCGGGCAATGGTGGTCCGACAGCGGTGACAACCACACTGTAGTGGTCTGACAATGATGACAGTCGTGGCTGGGCAATGACGTCGGCTCGAGATCTGGTGGAAACGATGGTTGTCTGATAAGGACGACAGTGGTGTTCGAGTAATGATGGTTCGACGATGGCGAACCTGATGACAGCGGCGGTGAATCTCGGGAACCCTCAAGAGCTTAGAACTCCTTCAGCATTCTCATCCCCTCTCATGAAGAGAGCTGACTTTTATTTATAGCTTTTGGGAGTGTCATCCTTCGTAATGCTATTAGAATCCGAACCGCAATATTGGACGACCCAAAATATTTTGCCCTGGTCGAATGAGTTTTAGGGGCATTTTAGTGCCTTAGTGATGTCAGAATTAAACGATTGTGGACTCATTTAATTCTTCTCATTGATACACTCTATTTTGCTATAAACTTGTCTTAATTGGAGATTATTTGATCCCATAAAATATATCATAAATATTTTAGTATGTTTTAAGTGCATGATTGAGTTATATTTGATGTTAAATTTGAGTCCAAGCGAGCCCACATATTCTTACTATGCTTTCTGTCTTTAGGGCCTTTTTCCAACAATCCTCTAAAATATATCTCTGATCAAGTTATGTTTGATGTTGGCCGACTCATCTTATCAAAACACTTCATTTGAATTGGAATATAGATGATTAAATATTTGGAGTGTCAAAGTTTTGAGAAAAATAGGCTGAATCCTGAATAGGCTCGATGCCTTTTCCCTTTGCTTTCATTCCATTAAATAATAATCTTACAATCTATTTTATGTACGAAATATTCTGTATAATCTATTTTAGCTAACTTAATAATGCATATTCATAATCTAAATATTTAGTTAACAAGGAAATAAATCAGAATAAAGAAATTGGAAATAATTTAAATAAGAAAACTCCTAATTATAAAAAAAATTTAATTTAGTTGCCTGATTTCTGTCTTTCGTGATTGACATCCCCTCTCAAATTGATGCTGGCTGATCAGGAAGCATCAATTTGTCAACAATAAACTTTGTCGGGACTAACAATTTTCAAGGAGTGTGTGTCGAAGCCGAGAATGTCGAAGCCTTAGAGACAACTCTTAAACCATAATATGATTTGAGCAAAGAAAAGCAAGAAATCTTCTATCGTTGCTGTCCAGAAATTTGAATTATAGCCACAAGAATGATTCACATCCAGTTGCACGATCCAAATGCTACCAATCATAGCCCACAAGAAGGATCCAGTACACGATCCAAATGCTACATATCGTAGCCCACAAGTAGGATCCGCATCCTGTTATACGATCCAAATGCTATTGATTCTTTCAGCGACTACGAGGACGATTTGTTCCCTGAACTTCACGGCAAAAGTGCTGAAGCCGAGATCGGGCGTGCAAATAAAAAAAGTGACTTTCTCGTTGGCATGCAGATGAAGGTGACAAAGAAGTGGGAGTCACTGCGGGTGGAGTTCGAACGAAGGAGAGGCTCTGTCAAGACCAGTCGAGTCGAAGAGGAAGACAAAGTAGAACAAAGATGATGTAGGCGAAGAAATAATCAGACGTCGAGCGATGATGAGAGATTCTGGACGACAAGAATTCCAAATCATTGATCTAAATCAACCTAAGAGATAAAAAAAAAAATCTAAAGAAAACAAAAAAGAACCAAAAGATCATGCACTGCCTTACATTCGGCTTGAGACCGAAGGAGAGGAATCTGAGCTTAAGCCTACGATCCTTGAGTGCCGAAAGGTCTAGGAAGGATCTCAGCGCTGAAATACATCAACTTTCCTTGAGTACCGAAGTTAAAGATAAAGCCGAAGCTGCTGAAGCAGAAGCGGACAATATCGCAGGTTGCGGACAAGACAACAAACGGACAATATCGCAGATCGCAACTAGAACCAAACATGGGAGACGGAACCAAGCAGAAGCGATTAATCGACCGAACAGTCAAGCAGACGATCAAGCGAAGCAAGCGAAGCAATCCAGGAGACCGAACCGCCTGATCGAGCGAGCCAAATGAGCAGGCGAAGCAGTTCAGGCGAGTAGACTAGCAGGCGAGTAGCCTAGACAAAGCCGCCAATGCAGTCGACCAGAGCAGACTAAGCCGCCGAAGCAGTCGAGTAGTCCAGACGAGGCATACAAGGGTTTAGGCGAACCAAACGAAGCAAATGATGGTTTAGATATAGCAGACAAGCGATTCACGTCGGGTTCACCAGACGAGTAAACGGGCGAAGCAGTCGCAACAGATAAAGATCCCTCTGAACGATTCCAAGGCGGAGCGTGCAGAGTCGTGTCTGCTTCAATTGCGAGGCGTTTTGTCAGATGGGCGAATCAAGACAAAGAAATAGTTCCTTACTTCCCGCAAGAAGACCGACGGGAAATGAGTCTTGACGGTTCTCCAACGATTATGAGTGCTTAGGGCAAAAATTTAGCTCTGATACCATGTCAATATTTTGCGTGAATAGGCTGAATCCTGAATAGGCTTGATGTTTTTTCCCTTTGTTTTCATTCCATTAAATAATTATCTTACAATCTATTTTAGATACAAAATATTATGTATAATATATTTTAGCTAACTTAATGATGCATATTCATAATCTAAATATTCAACTAACGGAGAAATAAATCAGAATAAATAAATTGAAAATAATTTAAATAAGGAAGCTCCTAATTATAAAAAATTTCTAATTTAGCTGCTTGATTTCCGTCATTCCTGATTGACATGGAGATCTCGGTTTCAACGTGCATCAAAATTCATGCATGATTAAGATAATTTTTTGTTAACTTATGAGTTGCCTCCCTATTTTCAGGAGTTGTTGTCAAAGACGATGAATATATAAATATATATATATCCTAAGTTATTGAACAGTTTTACAACATAAAAGAGGGGTTTTAAGGACATTGACATCATATTTTTTGGCACACAACCTCTATTGTTGGTCTTCCTTCAAAGCTGTCGGGTTGCCCTACTTCCCCAATGTACTCCGCTACTCCCTTAGAGGAAGTTATGTTGACAACACTCCCTTTGTTTTATATTTTAATAATTTATAATGTTGTGATGTCTTATCATATTTATCTAGATTATATCGACCTTATTTATATTAATTAAATTTTAAGTAGTCTTGTTGCATGCCGGTAAATTCATAGTTATAGAGTGATATATTAACTTCCTATTGTTATATGAAGACCCGACACATATAAATAAAAGAAAAAACTGACAGAGAGAACAAAAAGAGTTTTTACATGAATTTAAATAGTACCAACGTGACAATCCATGATCCAAATAGTTTTTTTGATTCGAACCACACAAGTTTTATTAGATAAGCATTTGCAGGAACTTTGGAATTCTGCATGGGTACTTGAAAGATTCACTTCCAAAGGGATTGTTTAACATTTGAATTTTCTCATGTATTCTTGCACAAAGTATCCTTACTAAACTTTAGTTCTATTGATTTGTTCCGGACCTTTCCCATTCCTTGTGTCATATTTTTTTGGCTTTGAATAAAGGTCTAAAGTAAAAATTAGATATTTTGATTTTGGTTCATATTTGATTTGAGTAGAGCGCCAAGTGATTAATGTCAATTCCAATTTTTACTCTGTTAAATTTTGAATGATTATCAAATGATTTTCTTATTTTAAGCTTAAAGTGATTTGCTTGTCCCTTTTGGTTAATTTCCTTATTTCAAATAAACTTGTATAATTATCTCCGTATATTCATCTTTAATTTAATTTAATTTAATTTTTTAAAACATCAACCACCTATTTATTGCAGAAGCTATTATATAGGATGAATGTGGATGATATATGTTTGATGAATAATCAGGTATCTGGAGCCAACGTGACAATCCATGATCCAAAACCGGGAACACATGAAGGAACCGTTGTTATATCGGGATCTCAAAAACAGACTCGCACTGCCCAAGGCCTTCTCCATGCCTTCATCCTTAATGAATTATAGTAATCTACTTCTCCTTATACTACAGCAGGAGTGCAGGACTACCAAAGCCTACAACATGCTTTAGCTCCTAGGGAGAAGCTGCTCTTTTTGTTCATCTGTTTATTTTTTTCCTTCCTTTTGATGTTGTTGTAACGGTTGAATGTTTATATATATATCTTTAATAGCAAGCTTTCAGGGAACCAAGCTATGTTGGCTGCTTGCTTCAATGTCGTTTGATGATAGATATTATCATATTGCTCTTAGAAATAAGTAATGGCCGAGCTGTATATAATTTGTCCAAAGCATTTTTCAATACATGAGATGATGTTTATTATAACAAAATTCTCTATAATTTCGAAATAATAGTTAAAAAAAACAAAAAGGCTCATGCAGAAAAGTCTTTTGAAATGCGCACAATGTAGTCAGAATAAGAGTTAGTCATTTATTCTCATGTAGGCATGAGAATAAGAGAGTCGGATGTTAGATTCTAATAGTTCTCATTTATTTTTCATACTACTTAATATAGAGCGTTGAGTGAAATACGTATCAAATGTATTTGAGTGAGTGATAAAAATATGTTTTTTATGACATGAATTGTGAGGAGGTACAATATTTTGTTATAATGGGTTCATGATAGTACCGTGCATTGTGTTGCTGAGTACCAATGCATACCTTTTTCTAAGTATTCAAGAGAATATAGTTTTTTTTTTATTTAATTCAAATATGGTTGATAAAAATATGGACTCTGTATTCATTACATGGTTAAGCTATATGTATTCACTAAAATTTATGATCTGGCTAGCAATATTTAGTGAAATTATAGCCAATTCATTTTGTTTAAATAATCTTTAGTTTTTTTTTAAAATAATATTGAATTGCTGATATAAAATTCGTGGAGGGTGAGCAAAAATACTATTATAATTTTAAAAATCTTTTTGTAAATCCGAAATCAGAAAAGAAATTAAGTTTAAACACGTGCTTTAACTCGTAGCTTAAAAATTAATTTTTGGGGTGCTGTAAAAACACGTGCTAAAGTAGTCGTAAGTGGTAGTAGGAGTCCGACTTTCGCATTAAACACGTGCTATTTGGTCTTACGCGGAACCACAGACCAACTAATTAAGCCACGCCACTTCTTTAATTCTTCTTTCTTCTTCTGCTGCTGCTCTGTATTATAAATAATCTCTAAGCTGCCGACAGCTGCTGCAATAATCGATCAAGCAGCTTCTTCCTTCCTACCATGGATGACATGGATGCCGACTACGATCACTACTGGGACACCAAGTTGTTCCTGGACGGCGAAGAACTCAATAGGTGATTTAACAGTATTCTGTCTCTCCTCTCTCTCTCCTCTCCTCTCAACCAACGGTAATTATTTAGTTATTAGTTCATTCGAACATGTGTGTTATGGCTTCAGGGGACTTTCCGGCCCCATTGAATATTCTCTTGGAAAGGGACCTCTCACTTCTTCCACAGCCGGCTGCCTCCTTTTCCACCGGATCAATGAGATTGGGATTCCCTTTTTATTTCATAAATTTTGTAAAATAAATTAATTAACCACACAATCAATGATCTATAATTTTCCAACCGCACTTCTTTAACTAATTAATTTTCTCTCCTCTGTTTCCTGGTTCCATCATTGCAGAGCAAGCAGGAAACAGGGGAACCTTTCCTTTCTAGTTAGTTATTAATTAACTTCATTTGAACGCTGGTCTTAATCAATCAAATAAATCTCCATCAAAATGAAAGTGAATTTCGATTGATTAAAATATGAATTAATGAAATTGTGTTACTGAACGATCAGCTGGGGTGGACTTGACGAACATTTATCCTCCTATGACTCGAGCTCGCCGGAATGTGCCACCTCCCCTTCCTCGTCCTCTGCAGCAGCAAAGAACATTGTCATGGAGAGGAACCGCCGCAAGAAGCTCAATGAGAGGCTCTATGCTCTCCGCAGCGTTGTTCCAAATATCACCAAGGTGTGTCTCTCTCTAAACCTCAAAATTCCCCCCCCCTTTTTTTTTTCATTTTAAATTAACCATAACGTTTGGATTGATTGATTACTCGAAGATGGACAAGGCGTCGATCGTTAAAGACGCGATTGAGTACATACAGCAGCTGCAGAAGGAGGAGAAAAAATTGGTGGCAGAGGTTGGAGAGATGGAGTCATGCCATAGATCAGGAGGAAAGATAATCAGTTCCTCCATTAGCGATGAAATTGTGAGGAAGAAGAGGAAGACATCACCAAGCTCACCTGGCGGACGACCAATCGATGCCATGGAGGTAATTAATTAATCTAAATTGCATTATTATGTGTACATTTTTATGGATAATATTTATATAATATGATGGAATGGGCGCATGCAGCTGAGCGTGTGTGCGGTGGGAGAAAGGACTTTGGCTGTGAGCATCAGTTGCAGCAGGAAGAGACACGCAATGATGAAAGTTTGTGAGATTTTTGAGTCTCTCAATGTCAAGATCATCACCGCCAGCTTCACCTCTGTCTCTGGCAGTCTCCTTCACACTCTCTTCATTGAGGTAATTAATATTTTCTTAAAAATTTAATTCCTTGTTTATTTAATCCAAATTGACCCATTAATATTGATATTAATATGTGCCACGTTCATCCCATCATCTTGGATTTTAATCACTATATATATATTTTTTATGCATAATATGTGAGATTTGAATCTACAATCACACGATGAGAAATAATACCCTCAACCACTGTATCTATATCATGAATAAATGTGATATACATTAAAAATTTTGATGATAAATTAGCAATAGCTCCAACAAAGCTTGAGAAAAAAATTATTATTATTATTATTATAAGTATTTTCAATTCACTTCTGTGAAATAATATGATTTTTTTTATATGAATGATATATATACCGTGAATATGATTTTTTTTATATGAATGATATATATACCGCGGTATGAATAATATGATTTTTTTTCAATTCACTTCTGATATTGCCCGATTTTTTTTTAAATGAATCGACAGGTAAAAAATATTCATACTATTCATTGAATAAAACAAGGCGATTTAGGGCGCAAACACAGCGTCATTGTCAGGTGTTGAAAGCGGTATGAAACGTTGACCTTAATTGTCACGTTTCTCCCTCTGTAAAGATTAATTTTGACACGTGTAGGTGGAACTAAAAACGCACGAGATGCGCGTGCCAAAAACGCGCGATTGACTTCCGTTGCTACTGAGAAGTGTGAACACGGCATCAAATCTGCAATCATTTAATTGTTATATTTAGTAGTTCATAATCATGTTTAAATTAATAGCTGCATCGTCATCCAATAAATTTAATTCTTTATTACAATTATCCCGAAATTATTTTTAACAACAAATACCTTAACAGTTTAAACCATACTAATCACACGCAATAACTTACTGTGGATAATATATATATATATATATCTGTGTGTGTGTTTGTGTGTTTGTGTGTCACGTACCCCAATCTGTTGGTTGACATGCACGGTATAAGACTCCTTAGGTCGGGAGTTCAAATGCCCTCTGACATTGTTGGTGTTGCTCGAATTGTTAGGCACATTAGAGGTGACTGGAGGCTCGTATAATAGTCTATTGCCATTAATTTTAATATATATATATATATATATATCGCAATATTGCAATACAAATAACCAAAGTTTTTCCTCTATTATTAAAGGTAAGAAAAAAAATGCTGTTATATATTTTGCAGACTAATGAGGAGACCAATGGCGAGGCATTGAAGGAGAAGATAGAAATGGCTATTGCTGAAATTAATGTTCCGAGAAGCCCAATGAGTGGCGTGAGCCTTTGAACAATGAGCATTTGAATGATTAGGTAGTTAGTCCTCTGAGCAATTGCTGTTGCGGCCGGTACTTGGTGCTGTTTTTGTTTTCCACTTCTATTTACTATGTCTATGTATTATGTATTAATGAACGGCTGCTGCTTGCTTTGTTAGGCTATATATTAGTCCATCATTCATATTCATTTTTTCCCGGGAATGAACCTACCTATGTTGTAACTTAAGAATTTTACGCACTGTCATTCATATTCATTTTTTCCCGGGAATGAACCTACCTTTGTTGTAACTTAAGAATTTTCTTGCCGTTTCAATTTTACTTATTTAATTGGCAGCTACAACTTCAAGCAGATTAAAGTCTCCACCCACGAGACTTATGCAACCGGAATTTAAACAAATAAGGAAGGATATTTAAACCAAAACATGTTGGCAGACCGTTTTTATCAGCACCCTAAACCATCACAAGCACAATAAATTGCTTGTTAATAATGATTGATGATTGAATCTTATCATATTCTTATCCTATTCATTGAAAATAAATATTAAGTTAGTCCTCTACATGTGAAATCTCGCTTGTGGTTGTTGCCTCTCTGTTGGACTAGAAGCTTTCCTGCAGGTTTAGTGGCAAATTATTCATGTGTGTTGAACCCAAAACTATCCGAGAATCACACCCAAGGAAGGAATGGAGCAAGTAAGATGAGTGATCAAGCAATGTGAACATTAAAAAAAAAGGGGTTCAAAGTCTCTTCCCATAAAATGCCATCCTATTTATAGATATATGATGCACATTGGCTACATTGCTACCTATAGGTCCATTCCTGTGTAACAGAAATGTAAGGGCATAATTATCATTTACGGTACATTTGATTATGTTAATAAATAATTACTGGATGAAGGTAGCATGCTTATTATCCATCGGCCTGCACTTGTCGGCTCGGTGATCACAGGCCAAATCACATGAAGATGATACGAGAGTTCATCGGTCAAGTATTCCCATGAGTTCTTCTCAGGTACTGGTTTGTTAGCCTCGTTTGTCGAGCGATAAGATGTCCTTTGTTCGGTCCTCCCTTTGGGAGTCACTCATTTGGCCTCTGTGTTATTCGACCCACTGATTAGGCAAACAACTTGATAGTCCTGTGACGATATCCTAACTCTGACATTAATTTTCTTGATTATCTAACTTGGTGTGTTGACTGGTTCTGTCACAACTTAACGAGAGACTTCATTCGTCGTGTTTCTCAGCTTTCTATCAAGATATGTGCTGCTATAATTTTGTCATGCAATGTAAATGGGTAATTTAATGTTTCTTGGTACTGTGAAGTAACCTTACTGAGAAAATGTGTTATGCTAATTATGAATCATTGCTATATAAATCTCTCTCGATCATAAAAGACACAAGTTGAGAGTTAGCATGAATTATCAAGTTTTAAAATTAACAATTAATGACACTTCTCAGCCCTGCAGTGAGATCCTCATTCTTAGAGTCCATACTCTAAGGTATCATATTGGCGATGATACGTAGAAACAAAGGCCATCGAAGGAATTTTGTAGATTAGCGTCAGACGTTTCTGCGGGTAATATAACAAAAGTCTGACACAAAACCTCATTGTCGATGGATTTAGCGTCAGACGTTTCTGCGGGTAATATAACAAAAGTCCGACACAAAACCTCATTGTCGATGCACCGACAAAATGTCTGACACAAAAACATGAGTCTTAAAGTCAATTAGCGTCGAGAATTGTCGATGCTAATGTTTGTGTTCGAAACGTTCACTGTTAGAAAGTTGCGACAAAATTTTTATGGACGTCAAATTTAAATACAGAAAAAAAGCCTGATTTGATGTGATGCAGACTTAACATCAGAACTTGGCCAACACTATTATTGTGTGTCAGAAAAATCGAACACAAACCTGAAGCAAATCTATAATAAATTTTAAAAATAATAAATAATAATAATATTTTTTACACCTGCAAGCAATAAATTGTACAAACATAATGTGTGTCAATCCAACATTTATTCATCCGCAACACAACAAATTGCACAAACATATATCAATATTGAAAATAAATAGAATGATCATAAATTACACAAAATCTACAGTTTTTCATCCAATGAAAATAAATAGAATTATCATAAATTACACAAAATCTACTAAGTTTTCAATCAAACAAGAATTTATAAAATGTAAATTGAAAATATATATGCAAAATATATTATTCAAATACCAAAGAAGAAAAAAATATAAACCTCTACTGGGAATCCTCATCTCAGTCATACCCTAGTGCTATGAACTTAGATGTCACTTGTCACGGTGATCTACAACCTGCCCTAGCTGCATGAGTGGCCTCGACTCTGTATTGCATGTCACATAGCTCACATTACTTCTCAATCATACCAGCGACATGTTCATCATGGTCCGATAATGATGATCTCGGATCCTGAACATAACAGGAGTGCTCGGCCTCAAATTCAACACTCTTTACCCCCAGTCAGTATACCCTCCCCTTCTTTCCAGTAGCCTGCCTCAAAATCTCTTAATCAATTGGTCATGACTTATGAGCTGACTGACTGCTACTACTACTAGCAGTTGTCGGGTTTTATCTTTGGGTCGGCTCTACGTGTTTTGAATGTATTCATAATTATCACACATAATTAAAATCAAAGAATAGTTAACTTCTTGCATTAAAAATGTAAGTAAATATGAGTTTTCATCCAACATTTACTCATCAACAATACAACAAGTTTTATAAACATATGTCGATAATATAAATAAATAGAATTATCATAAATTACCCAAAATCTAATAAGTTTTCCATCCAATGAAAATTAATAGAATTACCATAAATTACACAAAAGCTACTAAATTTTCAATCAAACATAAATTTGTAAAATATAAATTGAAAACATATATGCAGAATACCATGTCCAAATACCAAAGGAAGAAAAAAACATAAACCTGTACAGGGCATCCATATTGCAGTTTGTAATGATCTGATAACGATAATCTCGGAACCTGAGTAGATCAAGAGTGCTTGGCCTCGAATTCAATACTCTTTATGCCCAGTTTGTATACCCTCACCTTCTTCTTCCCAGCAGCCTGCCTCCAAATATCGTAGTCAGATTGGTCATGAGCAAGCTAACTACAACTACTACTAGCAACTGTCGAGTTTTATCTTTGTATCTAGCTCTATGTGTTTTAAATGTAGTCATCCCACATAATTAAAATCAAAGAATAATAATATTTATATTAAAAATGTAAGTAAATTATAGAAAATCAAAGTTTTTTACTAATATGAACACATTGAGATAAGTCGAAGGCCATTGTTATATCCACGATTACTAATGCATCCAAACATTCATACATACATAAATATATACACATACATATAATTATATAAATACACACACAAACATAAATATGTATGTTCACACACGAAGCCACACATAAATATAGACACACACACATACATAGATATATAAGTGTAGATAAGCAGACACACACACACAAATTAACACATTTACACATAAACACGTTTTCATATACACTCACATAAAGAGAGAGAGAGAGAGAGAGAGAGAGAGAGAGAGAGAGAGATATATATATATATATATGCATGCATAAACACATATATATACACACAAAACACATATACACAAACATTCACATAAATACACAAACATATAAACAATTGCACGACAATTGCACGCACGCATCGCACACATATAAACATAAACACATATACACTCACATAAATTCACACAGACAGAAATGGATTTACTCAAAACTCCCTAGCAAAATGTAAAAATGCAAGATTAATATGAATTTATGAATATTGGGATTTAAAGGCCAAAATTTTGGCTTCAAATCGGCTTATATCCTAATTTACTATGTCCATGGAGAGGATGAAATAAACATATTTACTAATTCCTAGTAACCCTAAGTCTTACTCGCAGCCAACACCACATGTGGCATGTCTAAACTCTAATACCTAAAATTAAAGAAAAAAATGGAAGAAATCAACAAAAGAGTAAACAAAATATTCGAGAAAATTTGAAATGAGGAGGAGAAAAAGAAAATTTTGTCGGAAAAAAACTAGGATAGGAGGATTAATCGGAGTGGCGAGGTTGCCCATCATAAACGATAGCATTGGGTCATTGGACGATCGTCAGTGAAGAACAATCATAGAGAGCTACAGTTTCTCTAGAGAGCTAATTGAATAGTGGAGAGCGTGAATGAGTCTAACAAGCAAGAGTTTAGATTTTAAGAGCTTGACATCAAATTTAGATAAAAAATATTCGACACAAAGTAATTCATATCAAATTTATCGAACACATTTATGCTACTATTACATGATAAAGATAAAGATCACTAATGTTGCTGTTAATTTCGACACAAAATGTCTGCTTCAACATGCAATGACACCAAATTAGTTAGTGATAATTCCCGTTGAAGATTAGATGCAGATATGAAAAAAATATTTACGTTGGGCATGTTCCAGCACAATTTCAGACGTTATTTGGTTTTTTTCTTGTAGTGGGCCCAACATTAGAGCTTTTGAAAGCTCCACCAATGTATATTATTCAACTATGTAATGAGGATTGTAGGTGGGTAATTCATGTCAAATTTATCGAACACATTTATGCTACTATTACATGATAAAGATAAAGATCAATAATGTTGCTATTAATTTTGACACAAAATGTCTGCTTTGACATGCAATGATACCAAATTAGTTAGTGATAATTCCCGTTGAAGATTAGATGTAGATATGACAAAAATATTTACGTTGGGCATGTTCCAGCACAATTTCAGACGTTATTTGGTTTTTTTCTTGTAGTGGGCCCAACATTAGAGCTTTTGAAAGCTCGACCAATGCATATTATTCAACTATGTAATGAGGATTGTAGGTGGATCGATTAAGGTAGGGATAATGCATTCGACGATAAATTTGATTAGCGTCCTTGACTTGATGTATGGACTTGGATAAAAACAAATGTCAAACTCCAGTAGTTCTTAAGATGTTTCTTAATGAAAGATGAGTGTACAACGATAACATGTACTTACAAACACAATTATATTTTTTGTTGCCAAATCACTACGACCAAAGTTATTTTATGTAACAATGATACACCGATCTAAGTAAACGAAGATCTTACTAATATAATGGAGATGTCACAATACCACATTCTCCTCCTATATTAGAACTGAGCTTATTGAATGAGATGAGACAATG